GCTCGGAAGTGGTTGGTATCCTGATATTTTGTAACTAGTTACAATTATACATGGTATAGAGGTCTTCTCTGTATTTGGCGTTAACTGTCTTTGAACTCCTGGAATGCAGTGTTAAAAAATCTGCGTTGGATAACATTAGCTTTCTCAAAAAAAAATTTTAAGCTTAGTGTGTTATGCTGGTTATTTATGTTCTGCTGGTGGTTTCTAAATTCTTCAGCAGTGGTTCTTCTGGAAAGTAGGGTTTGTTCAAACTTCAAGCAGTTGGTATACAAAAGCTTGTTCTCATGTTTTTCTGTTTCTTTTTTCTTTTCAATTGCATTTGGCTTTACTTTTGTTGGACCGAATATAAAGCTGTAATTTACGGAAGGGCAGGAGTGCTGGCATCACTAGAAACACTTGAAAAGAGTATTTAGAAGAGTTTTGAGGGGAAGTCATCCGTATATTTTCTCACATCAGAGTTATCCTCGGTGTCTTTATACTGGATATAATGACTATATTCTAATGAAGTCATCTCAATTTTTTGTAATTTTGTTTCCTGGATGGATATTGTAATGGTGTTTCCTGGATGTGTCTTGTAGCGTCGTCATCTGAAGAAAAATGTCTTAAGGACCTAAAATATTAGATCAATGGATGAGACAAGTGATGTGTCTCCTCCCTATTGCATAATAAACTAGTATGACCAGCTCATTATGCAATAGTGAGGAGACACCTCACATGTCCCCTCCAATTGTCTCATATTTTGGGTCATTATATGAACACTNGAGGAGGTTCCTCTGTTCTCGGGTGCGGGTCCAAACGGGTCGCGGGGAGCATACCCAAGAAGGACCCGGTCTCGGTCGGAGAAGTTGGAGGACATTTTTGAGGTGGAGGTAGGGTTCGGCAGCGGGAGGGGAGAAAGGGGAGAGAATTTTAGAGCTAGAGTTTGGTGGGGTCGAGGGATTGGGATGATGAGTGGACGGGAGGAGATGAGAGAGACGAGAGGAGGAGCTCATAGTCGGAGTGTGAGAAATGATTCATTGAGTTTTTGATGGCGGGGAGAAGTTTGGATTCTAGTTTGGATTATCTATAGAGGATTGGTTCGGTAATCCGAAATTAGGCATTTTGGATCCAAATCCTTTAAAAATAGTAAAAAATTCAAAAACAAGCATAAAAACAAAGTGGGCAGTTTTGTCTTTAAGGTATCAATTAGATTATTCAACCTCAGTTTGAATTCACAACGCAAAAGAGGAGAAATCCTCCCTTCTCTTACTTACTATTTTGATAAGAAAAGAGCATGAAATTTTAATAAAGCAAAAACTAATTTTTTATAGAAAATTCGTGGAATTATTTTCCAAAGAAAAGCGTTTTTAAGGGAAGAGGGTTATTTGCACTTAAATACCCCAAACTTTTCATCATTTTAAACTTTGGTGCCCAAAGTTCATTTTTGCCCAAAAATATTCTAAAGTTCAACAAATTTTGCTTTGATACCCAGATTTAGTTTTGTGAGAAAAACCCATTAATTAAATAAAATATAGCTTTAATGCATCAGAGTTCACAAAATTTATCTTTGATATCCAAACTTTAATTTCTAGTTAAAGATTGTGATACTAAAATAAAAAAAAAATTCATGGCTTGGATATCAAAGGAAAAAGTTATTGAATGTTGGGGTTCTTTTTGGGCAAGAAAAAAATTTTACAGGTATCAAAATAATAAATGATTTAAGTTTGGGGTATTTATTGGGCAAGAGAGTACTAAAGTTACAAATTATGTAAACTATGGGGTGCTTAATTGTAAATAACCCCAAGAAAAAACCTCAATCTACTATTTCTTAACTAAAGGAGAACAATAACAAAGGTTTGATGAACAGTAAATCTTAGGTGGACCAATCAAAAGGAGCCATGTCATATCCTCAAACTACCTCTTTTATATATATTTTTTTAAACCACCTCCACCTCATAAACTGCCCCAAGTTCTCTCTCCTCCCCTCTCTCTCAAGATGAACGGAGGACCTTCTGGATTTCGTAAGCATTCTCCCAAAAATTTCACCTCCAGGAGAAAAAAGTTGCAATTTTTTTGGTTCCTTAAAAAAAAACCCAACCTCATGGGCGCTGACAACTCCGCCGACACCCTATCTAAAATATCAACTTTCACCGATCCCTCACCACCCCCGTCATGTTCGCCATCCACAGCCTCTCACCCCCGGCGACCCTGCCGCAGGCGGCAGCGACCCGAAACGCCCCTTGATCGTTTCTTCGAATCGCTTTCTTCACCCGCCTCTGTTGCAGTTAAAAAAGGTGATATTTTTTGTAGATCCAACCTCTTCCTTTAAAGAAAAGAATCAAACTTTAGATCAAATTAAACAAAAAAGAAACAAAAATTGACGGGAAGAGAGAAGAAAGATGAGATCTTGCATATGATGAATAGCCTTTTAGAACACTTTTTTGTGTTATATACCTTTTTGGTCACGATATCTAAAACCCCAAGCATATCCTTTTTTCTTCAATTTTTTACATAGCATTAACAGGAGAATTGAAATTCCATTATTTACATAGCATTAAAATTTTTAAGATACAGAGCTATCTCCAGAATCACAGCTAATTTCTTCAATTATAAGGGTTTAATCTTGCTTAATTACTTAAATGATTTTTATTTTTCAACCTTACTAACTTCTTTTTTGGGGGCAAAACGTCGACCTAGGTTGAAGTTCATCGTTCTCATAGGTTCTATTTTACAAAAGTCATTCTTCAACTACAAAAATGCAAGTACGACTTCGGCATGCCAGTATTCTTTCTATTTCATCATTTCTAACTTTTTTACAATTTTTCAGCAGAGCCACCAAGACGATTTGGAATATTCTTTCTATTTCATCATTTCTAACTTTTTTACAATTTTTCAGCAGAGCCACCAAGACGATTTGGAATTCCCAATTCTTCTATGTTTTATTTATAGGAGGCATTCATCACTTGCAAAACTCAAAACAAATTTTCAGGTAATTTTTTAATTATCGAGAATATTTTTTTCCTTTTCGATTTCAGATTTATTAGGTCAAGATTTGATTTTTTTAATGTTTTGGTTCAGAAAGAATTGGAGAAAAAAGTTGAGGAGCAGCAGGTTTCGGAGGCTGCTGAGTTGAAGATAAATTTCATGTTACAGTTGATTCTCTCTTGCCGCTTAGCAATGTTGGTCGAGTCTATTGAAAGAATTATCAGCGTCGGTTGAGGTCCTTTTGTTCCTTCAATTTGTGTTCTCTATTATGTATTTGAGAGTTTTTTTTGTTGGCTTTCCAAGAAAAGTGAAATGTCTTGATTTTTTGATATCCTCCTTATCTGGAGCAATTTTGGCAATCCTTCTATCTTGGTTGTCTAGGAAAGAACTGAATCCTGTTTCAGCCAACTGCTCACTTTTCTTTACACAAGTAGAATGAGAATAAACTATATCACTGCTAATTAGGCCATGCTATTTTGCACATTTCTACTTTTTCAAAGACAGTCCTAAACATATTTGATGGATCGAGCACCCTCATCTGATCTGCTACCAGAATTACTAACTCGACAGAATTCGGAAATCAGATTGAAATGGATCAGTTATATAAGAAGAAATTCCTATTTTATAAAAGAATTTTATGCATTAAGATATAATAATAATGAAAAGAAAGTGTTATATTAATTTTCTTTTCCTTTTCCTATTTATATATGATATTAAAATTAACAATTTTATCCTCTTAACTAAATTTACGTGGAGATTACACAAACTTGAGTCAAGCATGCAATTATTAACTCGACAGAATTTAGAACTCAGTTTGAAATGTATCAGTTATATAAGAAGAAATTCATATTTTATAAAATAATTTTATGCATTAAGATATCATTTTCCTATTTTTATATATATTATAATTCTAGGGTTGGGGTTGGGGTCTAATCTTCTATGTTCTTCATTTCACATTAACATTAGCTTAGAGAACTGAACGTACGATATATCTTTTGTAATCCGTTTTCCTTGGTATGTTCTGATGATCTTTGATTTGATGCGCTGCTATGTTAGGAGAATTGAAATATCTTTATTAGTCATGCTATTCTCTTACTTGCATCAAGAGGTTGAAGATAAATTACAAAATATCTTTTATAATATTTTTATTAGTCATGATATTGAATCAAACTTGATCGAATATCTGAACGAATAATAAAAAAAAGCAATTTGCACCCCTATACTTCATAATTCATATCTAAAACGGAATACTTTTATTTTGGTAACATGTTTATATATATAAATATATACTAGTTAGATTACACGTGCAATACACGTGGTCGGATATCATGGTTATTTAAATTGATAAAAATAGATTAAAAATAAAAGAGAAAATAAAATTTTTTGCGGCATTGATTATCAACATAATATTCTCTTTTTCAAATGAAATATTATCATCGCTACGTGATCTACTATTTGTGGGTTATAAACACATTGATTTAATATAATATCTTTGTTTATTAGTATCTTGAAGTCTTTAAAAGATGAGTGATCATTCAATTTACAAAGGAATTTTGCATATGAATTTACTTGTAATATGTGTTTGGGTCAAAAGTCGATGTTTTCATTGTTTTGAATCTATTACAACTTTAGTCGTTACAATAAACTCAAATAAACAAGAAAAGTAGACCTTTTTATAAGATCGACTTATACAATGAAAATGTAAAATAGTACAACTCTTGTCAAACAGCACAACGGACGTTTATCACCCGCTATTTTCGTGGGAACTTCGCTAGGCCGGGGACGTTAATATCTGTGGACCGTCGCGGATCAGATCCGGTTGACAGATTAAGTTGATCAAAGCTCTTACTTCACGAAGGAAGTAATCGCAGCAGTGGTAATCTCGACCAAGCGAGATCACGGCTCTTCTCGAGATTTAAAACCAAACTTTAATCCGGAGGAATAGGAGATGGGTCTCAGATCTCTCGAATTCCACTCTTTATGCACAGGAATTCGCCAAGATCTGCTAACCCTCGATGTAAA